TTATCGAGAGTATATGTATCAAGGTGGATGATGTCAAATGGTTTTGTTGCAGAAGGCGTGATGTTCATTTCCATATTTATTGGGTGACGTTCATATTTGCTACGTTGGCAAATTTCACATTCATTGATAAATGATTGAATGGATTCTTTCAGGTTGGGCCAATAATATTTTTCCTTAATTCGTCGCTCGGTTTCTTCGATTCCTCGGTGATTTGTCTTGCTCTCATGGTAATTTTGAATTACCTCTGCTATTTCTGTTTTGTTGACGACATCAATTAATTTTATCAAGCATCTTTTAAATTTAATTGAAGGCCATTTAAAGTTTTTCCTTATTATTTCGCAGAAAGGTTCGTAAGTATCTGGATTTTCGAAATAAATGGAATATAACTTTTCGGGTACTACATTTTCTTTCACAAATTGCATGACGTCATTTTCAAAATTATTTTCCGATAATTGGACTAGAAATCTTCTTTTCTTCTCGAATAATATCAAGCGTTTTGTTTTTGCAGGTGAATGCAAAACGCTCGTAATAATCACTTGATTAGCTCCGTAATTAACTGCTGATTCTATAATAGGGACTCCTACTATAGGATCTTGTTCGTTATTTGTATGTATGGTTTCATTGTCGTCTTCATTTGCTGGTGGGTCAAGGTCGGGTTGTGCCATCGTTGAAATTAGGTCTAAGTTATCTTCGTTTGCATTTATATTTCCGTTGTTCGTGTTCGACGATGAGGTGCCTTCTTGTTCAAGTTGCTTATTAAATTCCTCGATGTATGAGACTAAACTCGGGATGTTGGCGGCGTCTTTTGTGTGTAACTCAATGCGACTTAGCGCGTCAGCATTTGTGTTAAGTTTTCCTTTCTTATATGTTATTTGGTAGTCGAATTCTTGTAATTTTATTCGCCATCGTACTAATTTTGAAGTGGGATCTTTATAGTTAAACAGCCACTGTAAGGGTTTATGGTCTGTTATGATGTTAAACTTTCGTCCATACAGGTATGGCCTAAAATATTTTGTCGCCCACACTAGGCACAAACATTCTTTCTCAATGGTAGAGTAGTTTTGTTCCGAGTCGTTCAATGTACGGGATGCGTATGCTATTGGCAGGTCCTGACCTATGGGCCCTTGCGACAGTACTGCGCCTAGCGCTACATTGCTAGCGTCACAGGTCAAATTAAAGGTTTTAGAAAAGTCCGGGTATTGTAGTATCGGTTCATTTGTCAATAGTTTTTTACATTTTTCGAAACAGTCAATGAACTCTGGGTTATGTTCAATCTTGGCTCCCTTTTTCAAACATTTGGTTAGTGGTTTTGTTAATTTTGCAAAATTGTTTATGAAGCGTCGATAATAACCTAATAGTCCAAGAAATCCTTTTATTTGCTTCGTTGTTTTTGGTATGGGATATTTTTTGATTGCATTGACTTTATCTGGGTTAGGACGTACTCCTTCAGGTGTTATAACGTGTCCTAAGTAGGCTACTTCATGCCTTAGAAACTCGCTCTTATCTAATTGGATCTTAAAATTCGTTTCTCTTAATCTTTGGAATACGGTTTCTAATCGCTCCAAGTGTTCCTGTAATGACGACGAGAAGACTATAATGTCATCAAGGTAAACTAGGCACTTCTCGTTTTGGATTCCTCGTAGGATGCCATCCATGACCCTCTGGAATGTGGCGGGGGCATTGGATAGACCGAAGGGCATTCTGAGAAACTCGAAATGGCCATTTTCTGTACTAAACGCCGTTTTTTCAATGTCCTTTTCGTTCATTTGAATTTGATGGAACCCACTAGCCAAATCTAAAGTTGTGAAATATTGACACTTCCCTAGCTTATCCAGAAGGTCCGTTATGTTAGGAAGAGGGTATCTATCTGGCATGGTCTTTGCATTGACGCCTCTGAAGTCAATAACGACTCTCCATTTCTGCTTCCCAGAAGCATCTGCTTTTTTTGGGACTACCCAAATAGGTGCAGACCAAGGAGAATTGCTTGGGCGTATAATATTCTGGTCCAGCATTTTCCTTATTTGTGATTCAACCTCTTGCTTATGAATGAATGGGTACCTATATGTTTTTGTATATACAGGCTGTTCATCTGTTGTTTTTATAGAGTGTTTTATTTCGCTCGTGAATGTCAATGGCATATTTTCCTGGTAAAATATGTCCGAATATTTTCTACATAATTCAATTATTTTGGCTCTCTCTTCTGAATTAAGGTGATCTGTGCGAATTCCAGTATAGTCAAAAATATCAGTATCGTAATTTGATGCCACAAAATTATTTAGATCAATTTGTTCTATTTCTTCTCTATTAAATGGTTCCACTTCAATTGGTCGTGAAAGATCTAATATAATTGGCTGACATGTATTGTTCAAGATTGTCGTTAAAGCGTATCCATTTTTTGCAATGCTTAGGGAGTTCGGAATCTCGCAATTATGCATTTTCTGATATGGAATTATAACTTCGCCATCATGTATGCTGGTTTTAATTTTCACAAGCTGTTCGGTACGTGGTGAGAGAGTGATATTATATGCTTGGTTTATGTTCGTTCTTTGGAATTGTAACTTGATTTTTGCAAATGGAGTTACTAAGAATCCTGTTTCATAGTTTATGCTAGCTTGTAACATTTTTAGATTATCAAGTCCTATAAGGCCGTCAAAGATGTTATGAAATTTAAATAAATAAAATTTCAAAGGTTTCCTATTAGGTAGATTAAAAATTTTTGAAGCGGGAATTTGAGCACTGTATTGATGTGCTGATTGTTGGAAAACAGTTGAAACGATGAATGGCTCATAGCTTATGTGATTTGGAAAGAATTTTTGAGCTAAGTCGGGGTCTATGAACGACTTGGTGGAGCCACTATCTATGAGAAATTTGAGATTGCATTCAGGAAAGACGATATAGGACAGCTCACTTGCGTTGACGTTATTGAATGAAATTATTTCAGGTGATTCTAGGGTGCAGGGTTGGTTGACTGAATTTCCTGAAAATTTGATTGTTCCGAAGAACCAGCTGTGTCGTATTCTACGAGTTCAGTGGTTTGGAATTCATTATTTGAATCGTTATAATTATTGGAATAATTGTAACTTTGTTGAGGGTCAACTTCGGTCTCATAATAATATGATTCTTGATCATTTTCGGTGTAAGAAAGGTCAGTGACATTCGTCGTATTTGTATTATATAATTCTTCTGAAATAAAGTTACGTGGTTGCGTAACTTGGAAATAGTTATTACCAGAAGTTTGTGGTGCATTGGTAGCAGAATAGGTTTGTCTTGTCGTTGTAGACATTGGGGTAGGTCTAGGAAAATTTTTGTTTTGACCTGGTTTAAATACATTGGTCTGATTTTTATTTTTGAAGACCTGTGAGTTAGTTGGGAATTTTTGTTGTATTTTATTATAATCAGGTCTCACATGAATAGGTTGGGATGGAAATTTTTGTTGAGTGAACGTGTTATTTGGTGTATTAGCATTAAATGTGTTGGAATTATTGTATCTTTGTTGTGTATTTTGTTTGAAGTGCTGTGAGGGATGTTTTTGTTGAGTTTTAGCTATATTCTGAAAATATTGTGTATTATATTCCTGTGTGACAAACTGTAAAGCTTCGGGAAGGTCTTTGGGACGCATACACCTAATTGTTGTTCCCAATGGTTCCCTTAAGCCTGATAAGAAAGTTTTAAGGGCAAGATCATTGTATAAGTTTCGCTTTAAATTTTTCGCATTTTGGTCAACTTCATGACTATTTACATAAGAACAAAGCAGGTTTAAAATATGCATAACCCTGTCATAATATTGACTAGGCTTTTCTGAGTTTTGTTGTCTCAACATTACGAGATCTCTGTTTAAACATGCCTCGTCTCTTTGATCTGCAAAATGCCTGCTCAAAGTTAATTTCAAATTATCCCAAGTAGTAACATTTTCTGTACCTAGGATCAATTTTGCGTTCCCAGTTAATTTTCCAATGATGCAATTTATCAAGTAAATATTTTGAAAATGGTTTGGTTGATTTGCATCATAGAAATTATCAATTAAACTTTGGCATACTGTTAAATATCTATTCAAATCGTTAGGGTTACCATCGAATTGTGGTACGCAATTTAAGTACTCAGGTTTAAATTGAGCCATATTTTTAATTGTATTAATATTATTTAAAATTAAATTATTTTGATTAGTGCTTGTATCAGTAACTGCAGCACTGTTATTTAATGTTTGATTAATATTTCTTATAAACTCTTCTGTATCAGAAGGTGAGTCAGTTGAAGGTAGAGATAGAGATAATAATCTTTCTGTTAATTCATCAATATCAGACATTAAAGAAATTACAAATTGCACATTGCACTTACATGAAGATTATTCCGTAGAGCAACATTTATAAGGCCAAGAATTTCTGGTAGGCTATGTTTATCCTTCCAAATTAATCCTGGTCTCGCGAATATTGGCTATTTTGGTCCAATAATCCGATTGCTTGAAGGCAGTTCTTTGGTTTTCGATTTCGTAAAGCCACTCCGACACTTCTCGCAAACACTTAACACGATTTTCACACAAGGGTGTAGATTCGAGTTCCCGGTTAGTCCGATTTCCGAAAAGTTCGTAAACCAGTTCCAAAAACAAAAAATCCGGACGACTGCGCCAGTTATCAATACGTAGGCCGATAACAAGTTTTTAAAAAACAATTTATTCACTAAATTACAATAGAGAAATACTTTCGCGTTCGCGTTACAAAGTTTCAAATAAGAAATATAATTACAATTCAACTGACTGACTATTCTAGGCGGGCAGCGATATTTATAATAAAGAAAAGCGAATTAAGCAGTTTATATGAATGGTCAGCAAATAGAGCTGACATTACTTATGTATTAATTTTTTTTCTGACAATAAAGCATTATTATTATTATTCTTTTAGGTTTTCAAAACAATATAAATTTGAAATAAGTTCATTAAAAAGGGCACATGGGTCAAGGAAAATCTGTAAATTCCTAAAATATCCGAATCCCAGGCAGAAAGCCGAGTATCATAATAAATCTCAAGATGCGTGCCAGATGCTGAGAAACTGTCAGTCGATAGAATTGTATTTAAGTAAATAGTTACTCTGTAGTGTCTTTCATTGCTTCAATTAATACAAATGGGGTTTTAAATTTAGTCTGGCTTTTGTGTTTGTGGGTAAAAATAGCCAAAAGTGTTGTTTTAAAGTAGCTGGAGGTACATAAGATATATTATTATTATTGTAAGTTATTTTTAAGTCAAAAATGCTTTTTTTTCCATTTAGTAAATTTTAAAAATCAGCATAAAATTATGTCTATAGAATCAAGATAGGGAACATTTAAATACCGCATCCTTGGAATCCCTGATTGAGGAATAATCCGATAAAATAGTTACCTACAGAATCAGTGATTCGTTTAAAAATTATTTCTTTCGCAAAATATCCTTTCATAAGTTTCTGAAATGAAAGATTCTGAATTTGAGAATATAATTTTCTCTTTTTTACTTTTTTTGAAAATTAGTATAACATTTTCTCTAGAATCGAGGTATAGGAAACATTCAAATATCATCGTTGAAATCCCTGATTAAAGATTAAGAAATTCTATAAAATAATGCCATGAATCAGGATAAAAAACACTTGAATATGATTCTTGGAATTTCTGATCAATTTTTTTGTTTGTCACCAATTTGATTTAGAAATTCACAGTTGAAAATCTAATATAAAGAAAAGAGAAATGATGCCAGTATCAATAATTATTATTAGTATCATTATTAAAACTATGATTTATATTTACTTTCCCTCTTATTCGATAATAATGTATATTTTGCTAGAAACAAATCTGAGTTCAGAGTTCATTTAACGCAATAATCTCTTAATTATTTTATATTGTCATCTACTAAACAAAACATCCATTAATTATTATCAATATTTTAACTTATTATACGATCATTTATTTAGCGAGAAAATTTATAATTTTACAGTACGAAAATGAAAGCTACTGTTCTTTTCCTTTGTTGGACGTGTTTTTTAGTGCCGAAAACTAGTGCAGTTGTCACGTAAGTAATAATTTTTCTTGTGGTTTTTAAGTACAAAATCCGTAGTGGCGCCATTAAGCAGTATGTGCTCATTAAATGCTAAAAATAGGAGAGTTTCTGGACATAAACATGAGAGTACTCTCTGGGTAAAAATAAACATAAGTTCATTTACCTCCCTCTTGAGATGTGGATGTTTTTGAAATATTGATGTGAAAATGTTTGATTGGAAATTTTTGGAAAATAATCATCAATGAAGAATTACTTCGTCCTTAAATTTAATTTAATCGAAAATCTGTCATCCTCTATACAAATTTTGGTATTTGGGAGATTTTTTATTTCAATTTAAAAAACATTTTGTTTTACTTACTTCACTCACTTACTTCAGTTTTTTACTATTTCTGTGTTTCTTTTTCTTCTTCTTCAATCCAAAGTAATCCTAAAAGTCCTGAATTGGAGCAAATAGTCGTATAGATCCATTCAAAGACGATTTTTTTGTTCAAATTAAATATCAAGAGAAACTAGGCCAAATTCATGTAAAATTTCATTTCAACGTAATTAGCTTCCTAAAATATGTTTTTTCTACAAACGTCACTAAAAGTGTCATTTTTAACGGATGCTGTCAGTGTCTAAAATGCCATTTTATGACACTGCGGTGTTAAAAGTGATTACTTTTAGCACTAGTGCTAAAAGTAATCACTTTTAGTGCATTTGTAGAAAAAATAGTGTATGACATTCGTGCTAAAAGTGATTTTATTTTGTTCACAAAATAAAGTGTCACTTTTAGCACTTATATCAAAAATAACTATTTTTTTTAAAGATAAAAGTCAAAATGACATTATGTTGGCAATACAATGTAAAATTGTCAATGCTTTCAAATTTTTTATGTAGGAAAGGCTTATGTTGCCAACATAGTTACCTACTAAATTTTTGACTTGGGGAATTATCTTAAAAAAAAAACAGACTTTAGATAGGAAGCTATGGTGATAGCCCGATTTTGACCATGTCAAAATTTCATTAAATCTTGAAGTTTTGAATCATTTTAAGCCTTTTTGGCAAGGTGTATGTATGTATAGTATTTGTAATACCCATTTCGAATAACCTCATCCTTATTTATCAATCGTGAAAAATTATCCGTAATTTTGAAGCTCTGGTGGTATTATATGGTAGGTATTATCCCCGAAAAATGATATTAAAACCTGAAAAAATGTCAAGATTTATTAAAATGAATTCATGGTTTGAAATGACAATTAATGACAATGACAATCATCAATTAGGTAGTTATTTGTCTAGGAAGCGTTATGTCAAAAATTTGACATTGGTTTTTTGATTAAAAGGATAACGCACACCTAACATGGGATTTTTGGGCTCTATGGATTTTGCCCATTTTTTGATATGTTGTAGAGGATTTAATTCTGAACAACCTTTAAATGAGACGAAATCTTGTAGGTATTACGGTCTTTGAGATATGAGCGTTGTAAGATGAACTTTTTTGCGACTTTTTGTGTGGAGAGTATACGAGATACTGGTGCTACGATTCTTGGGTGCTACTGGTGTCTATCAGTCAAAATTGACAGGTTTTTACGTCACTTTAAAAATTAATGTCAACGTCATTGATGTCAACATAGGTTAAGGCCGGGACCGCACTAGGGTTAAAGTTGGCGCCAATGCGGTCACGGCCTTAGCCTATGTTGAAATTTGTTAGTGACGTGAAATATGTCGACCTGTCAAAATTTTGACTGATAAATACCAGTTTTTCGTATATTCTCCACACAAAAAGTCGCAAGAAAGTTCATCTTTCAACGCTCATATCTCAAAGACCGTAATACCTACAAGGTTTCGTCCCATTTAAAGGTTGTTCAGAATTAAATCCTCTACAACATATCATGGATTTTGCCCATTAATCCATAGAGCCCAAAAATCCCATGTTAGGTGTGCGTTATGTTTTGCTTTTAAAAGCGCATCTAAAGTTGTTCCGAATGTGTTTTCTTGTGGCTTTTTCTTTATTGAAATATCCAGTAAATGGATATAAAGGACCACGCAAAAGTTACATTGAAAAGTAATTTCGGAGAATTTGCTTGATTTTTGGTACTTCCTACCTCCTTGTTTGATTTGACATATATTTCCCATAAAAACTAACTAAGGAATTCCTAAAAAACAACATTTGTCATGACTTTTTTGTACTACTTTTTTTTATTCATAAATCCGATTTTTTTCTTGAAATACACCTTAAAATATATAAGATGCCTCCTTACATGCCCTTAAAACTAAAAAAATGCGTTTCACAGCCGAATAAGCAACAAAATCAGTTTTTGTTAATTTGCCACATTTTTTTCTTTTTGACAAATGTTGTTTTTCCCAGAAACCCCTCGATTGTTTTAAACAGGTTTTATTAATACAAAAATATCCTACTTCCTTTTTCTCGCTGCGACTTTTAAATCCATAGGCTATGATTGTCATTGTCATTAATTGTTATTTCAAACCATGAATTCATTTTAAGAAATCTTGACATTTTTTCAGTTTTTAATATCATTTATCAAATTTATACTTCATTTTTTTTTTCAAAAATGTCCCAATGAAACCTATATTGAGATTTTTGAGATTATAAAAAGCAAAATGAGCTCTATCTAATCAATGAAAAAAATGATGGCGTTCCCATTTAAAAAAAAAAGATCAATGACGTCATATCTTTGAGAGGAATTTTTTTTTCCTATATCTCTGTGTAACTTTTCCCTACACGTCTTCTTATACCTATTTCCAAAATTTCATCAAATTCCATCAAGCCGTTTTTTCAGAAAAATGCTAACACACATACACACACAGACGGAAATGTGCCACCTTGCCAAAAAGGCTTGAAATGATCCAAAACGTCAAGATTTAATGAAATTTTGACAGGGCCGCCGCTACCATGTGTGCAGTGTGATCAAAACACACAGGCGGCCGATTAAAAAAAGGGTTGCCGCCGATGATCCTGATGCAAAAAAAAATATCATGTGCGCACGTGGTAGAAATGAAACTTATTAAAAACCATCCCCCTCTCATACAACTTTTAGAGTTAGCGTATGAGTCGGTCTAAAAACGAAGGACCACGCAAAAGGGTAGTGACGTCCCAAGGTCCCTAGGGTATCGGCGCTTGACAATAATAGGTAATCCTTCTTGTTTATAAATCCTTGGCTTGTGTTAATCGTTCGTCGGCCTTCATTGTCATTAGTTGTTTTTTTCCGTCTCTCTACGTTATATCTTTCTTCTTTCTCGTGTAACGAAATTTCCCAAAACGTGACGTTAAGGACGCGTCCTTCAAATTACCCTCCATTTTCGACACAATAGGTCTGTTTCTGCAGAAATCACAAACCAGTCAGAACGAATTTGATTGGTTGAAAACAGTCAGAAACAGTCAGAAAATTAGTTTCAACTAATGAAATTCACTCTGACTGGTTTGTGATTTCTGCAGAAACAGATCTAACATTCCGCCGCCTAAAGAAAATTCACTTCAAAATAAATTATAGGTAGCCGTCGACTTTTATCGAAAATAAATATCTCAAACAAATAAACCATCAAGCTTTAATAACGAAAATAAACCGAAAGTACTTCTTCACAAATTTGTATTAGGTACATCCCTACCTAATATCATAATACAAGCAAAAAAACACTTGAGTTTTCAAATTTTATTCTTTATTGGGATATCAAATGCAAATGTCGGCCATAGACGCACTCGGACATTACAGCGGAACAAACTTCTTAAGGCGGCGGGCGATCTGATATGAAAGTGATATGGATATGGAAGACGCGTCACGTTTTGGCAAATTTCGTTACACCAGAGAGAAGAAAAATGTAACGTAGAGAGAAAGAGGAAGACAGCCAATGACAATGACAGCCGACGAACCATTGACACAAAGAGGATTGCCTATTATTGTCAAGCGCCGATACCCTTATGACGTCACTACAGATGCGCGTCTCCCTTTTGTGTGGCCTTTCTTCATCTTTACCACGAATCTTTGACACGACTCATACGCTAGTATATCTCAAAGTCTAAAAACTGTATTCCATTCCAACGACCTTAATTTGTACTTTAGAAGGAGTGAGGCGGCGAAAATTGTCTGGGCACACAGGCGGCCAACACCCTAGCGGCGGCCCTGAATTTTGACATGGTCAAAATCGGCCTATCACCATAGCTTCCTATCTAGGATGCTAAAAATCGCGCGAGCAAATAATTTTTTTTATAGATTTCGCAATCCTTGCAACCATCAGACACATTGGAAATGATAACACCATTATATGGAACATATTTAACACCTATATTTATCTATGTCACGTACACGCGTATATCTTAAGCATGCTGTTAAAGGGGGTGTGCGCCAAAAATTAAAGTTTAAGTGTAAAAAAATCTAAGAATAACTGTTCAAACCTCGTTATTCTACGATAAACCCTCGCTAAGATATACCGCTTTAAAGTGTAGGTGACGTCATGAGAGCATCGTCCAGCCGCGCTCCGCATTGTTAATTTGATTGTTCCCGGCACGCGTGAGTGGTTTTTGTTTAGATTATTGCAGGTGTCACAGAAAAAACATATGTAAATTCAATTTTTCTTCACTTTTTCGTGCGTCGCTTTAGCTTTCGTGACGTCATAGGGTGAGATTCGGTACCTACATAGACCATATCTTCGGTATTATTTGTCATAGAGGGGTGCGGTTTTTACTATCGTTCTTAGATTTTTTTTCTCTTTTTTTTGAGATGAAGTTGCTTTTTTGGCGCACACCCCCTCACTTGTATCGTAAATATCTATTATTGTATTGAAATTCCGATGTAATAGAACAAACGCATTTCCAATGTTAAAAAAAATAAGACCAGTATCGTATTGCAAATACCTGCAAGGTAATAATGGGTTGTACCGGTCATTGGTAATATTATAATATGGACAATAGTATATTATGCAATGATCATGTAATGTAAGCCATTAATTGTAAAATCTGTTTTTTTTTAAAGATAAAAGTCAAAATGACATTATGTTGGCAATACAATGTAAAATTGTCAATGCTTTCAAATTTTTTATGTAGAAAAGGCTTGTGTTGCCAACATAGTTACTAAATTTTTGACTTGGGGAATTATCTTTAAAAAAAAAACAGACTTTAGGATTGTATAGTAAACTTCTCAACTGGTGACAATTGTTGACAACTAGTGACAATTTCGAAAATTGAGATCTATACCTTTACAACTTCAAATTGAGACTTATCACAATCAAATTGAGAACAATCAATTTCAAATTGGTACAACATCCGTTTCCATGTAATTGAACGTTGTACCAATTTGAAAATGTTTGTTCTCAATTTGATTGTGATAAGTCTCAATTTGAAGTTGTAAAGGTATAGACGTTATTTGGGCATAAATTCCACAGCCGATTTATTATTTTTTGTTATTTCTTTTGATAAATACTAATAGAAATAATCCAAAACAAGTCTCTTATTTTCATACAAACATTATTCATGTTTAAAATAACTTGACTCCAGTGGCTGAAAAATCTGTATCATAATGAAAATCTGTATCATAATGAAGTTCATTATGAAACAGATTTTAATCGTTTAATAAGCGTATTATAAAATAGCAGTAGAAAAAGGACTATATTAAACCATTTTGACTTGTTGTCACTCTCAAAATTCGTAGGTATATTTTTTACAGGGGGTTAAAAAATGGCAAACTTGATAGGTTTCAAAAATGCAAAAAAATTTAAATAAAAGTGATAATTGGTATTAAAATTTACTTATTTTTTTTTTAGTAACTACCTAAGTTTTAGTAAAAAAATCAGTAGTGAAAGTAGCTACAGGGTGTTCCAAGATGAGCCTTCACGCAAATTCCCTAAAAACCGAATTTCTCACGTAAATAGTAAATGGAATATTATGCGGAATACATCTCCCGTAAAGCTATCCTTTACATAACAATATTTTATACAGGACAGGGTGTTCCTAAAATCAGCAATTTTATCTTGAGATTAGATCTATTTCCCACAGTGCTGGAAGTATGTGGAGAATATTGTGCTGAGCGACCATACCACAAATGGATTTAGTTGGGATAAGACACCTGGGGTCGTATTTTCGAATTCATTCGAGTACATTTCGTATACGAAAGGACCCCGCACAAAACTTACGGAAAATGTGTTTATGTCAAATCGTCTGATTTTTTGATAGTGTGTCAAGCTCGATATCCTGAATAAAAGTTATCATTGCGCCAAAGCCCAATAATGAACACTTTTTGAAATAAACGCCCTTTTGTACTCTCACAAATATAGGTAAATCTTATAGACAATGACATCAAAAAATTAATTACCTACAGGTGAAAAATGCGGTGATAAATGGAATCAAAACACTGTTGCTTTGGGTCTTCCAGGAGAATGCTTTGGACTAGCAAAAAAACAATATTTCATTGGTAGTACAATTTTTGTTTATATGAGTATCTTCAATAATCAATCTATAAGTAATCCATATTTGGTACTTAGTAGCATTTCTGAAGCGGGAATAAATTCGGGCCCGAATAAATCCCGGTTCTGGGTCGAGTTGATCTACCTGCAATTCATCATCACCATCTCGTCGCAATTTTTCCTGTATATACGACGGCGCTAGGGTTACTTGGTACACACCAAATGTGAAATCTTTTAAATACTCGATATTCAATTGCGGAAAGTCCACCAATAATTGTCCGTCATTCAGCCGTTCCCAAGCAGCATTTCTCGCTTGTAGACCAAATTGCTCAACTCGAGCTTTAACCACATTAACCTCACCGGCATTTTCCAACATGGATTGACCCAGCTCAGCATTGCAGCCATTCATTTCTATAAGGGGATGGTACCTATTAATTATAGCTCCCGCAATCCGGTAAAAATCTCCTAAATGTGGTATATGCTGAAGGCTTATTGTCTGGCTGAAAAACTTGAACACGCTTTTAATGTATCCATTTCGCGCTTCTACAATCCAGCGGGTTTTGGTAACCAACCGGGATTCATTTGCATCCTCAGTAGACAACTGGCGTTGTTCACGCTCCACACCACGAGGCATACGATATTGGATGCCAAGCGCCTGTAATAGTGGGATTGAATCCCTATACCCTCTATCAAGCACAATAATGTCGCCGTTCTGGAACCATTCCCTCATGTTTTCGGCATCACGTGCAAACTCATTTCGTAGGACAGCCGCATCATTATTCGCGAGTCGGCAAAATAGGGACCTTGTATTGCCAGAATATACCCGTCTGGTGCTACTATCAGTGTAGGTTTCACAAGATGACGACCTTTGTGAATCGAAAACGTTTGTCGCAGGGTCTGGAAGTTGGAGCTCTTGGGAACATAGGAATACGTGCCATCAATATATGCAATAAGTCTCGGGGTGCCCGGATTCTCATTGTAAAGTATATTCGCAAAGGGAGGTACATGAATTTCAATAAATTCGGCGCGATCAATAGCTGTAAAACCAATATTTTGAGGTACAAATCTTTGTAATAGAGATTGTCTCACGGTTGCTATCGCGAGACTTGCAGTTTGACGGCTTCTGTAATTGAAAATAGCCTTAACGAAACTATCCGACAATCCCTGTCGCATTTTGCACAAAAAGGCCAGTAGATCTTTTCTGGCAACATATCTATAACCATTCTCTATCGGTATAGGATCGCAAAGATCATATAAACTTCTAAACTGAACTTTCGTGATAGGGCGATGCTTTCAAAGTCTGCATCAGAAAAATAATCTTCGCTATCAATTTTGGGATGTTCATTAGCTGTGTTTCTCAAGTGTTTCAAAAACGTTTGCAACTCTCGACCTGGAATTACGTAGGGCCTGTTTACAAATCTCAAACCTGGCAGAAGTCTTTGCAGAAGAAAACCGTTTCCGTTCAAATGGTGAGCACAACTTTTGACATATTCTGGAACATATATGTCCCTATTAAGGAAGATATTCACCCTGGCCTCGGTAGATAATCGGGGTTCATTTGGTGAGTTGCAAATGAGACACGAATGGCTTGAACTTTGCGTCAAAACATTGAGCCGCAAACAAGCGGGATCTCGCTGAAGAGCATTTATTTCCCTAATAATGGATCTGTTGCAGCTGGCACAAATTCTTGTGAGTTCATTGATTTCTATGATAGGCCTGATGTTTGCTAGACGCCTTTGTTGAGCTATGGCACACTTATCGGCATTTTCATCTCCAACAAGACGCACCATTAATCGGGGAGGAAGTGCCGCAGGACATATGAAACAGTGCAATATATTCCTCATTGCCATGATCAAAAAGACTTTATGAATCGGAAGAAAAATGGATCAAACTATAAAACAATTTACGGTTGCGGAAGGTGTGGGGAAAACCTGAACTTTTTGGAATTCACCTATCTATTTTTATCTGTCAAACGCTGTCAATACAGTTCAATCCCGATTCTAAAAAAATGAAAACGCTTCAGCGCATTTTTCACCTGTAGGTAATTAATTTTTTGATGTCATTGTCTATAAGATTTACCTATATTTGTGAGAGTACAAAAGGGTGTTTATTTCAAAAACTGTTCATTATTGGGCTTTGGCGCAATGATAACTTTTAATCAGGATATTGAGCTTGACACAATATCAAAAAATCAGACGATTTGACATAAACACATTTTCCGTAAGTTTTGTGCGGGGTCCTTTGATTGACAGCAATGTAAATTAAATGGGGAGCATTCGAAATCGTATCAAATTTCGTATGCGAGAATATTCGAAAATACGACCACTGGGGTCGTATTTTCGAATATTATCGCATACGAAATTTGATACGATTTTGAATGTTCCCCATTCAATTTACATTGCTGTCAGTCAAATTTCGTGTACGAAATGTACTCGAATGAATTCGAAAATACGACCCCTGTAGTCTTGACGGAGTAATTCACACGAAGATTTATCAAAATTATCTGAAAGCAAGAATTTTCGGCGTAAAGATTGGCAAACATCGTCCAAGAACTAGAGAACTGAAAGCCAGTGTTCCACGAGGATCGGTGCTCTTGCCACACTATATGATCGCCACAATCCGGAAGACACAGGACGTGAAGACTGCATTGTACGTAGCTGATTCAGCAGTTCTGAAGGAGTTAGAGAAAAACTCCATAGGGAGAAATGAGCTTGAATCTAGAATTGAGAATTAACATCAATCATCCTAACTAAGACCCAAGTCATCCTTTTTCAGGAAACAATAATCTATTAAATGTTATACGCCGCCGGAGTATAAATGGTATAACAACATTAATACGTCGCTCAAGCTGACAGTCATTAAAGTGACACTTATAACTTGTCAAAATGATCACAAAAATCTGTTATAGGTATGACGTTTGAAATAAACAATTTAATTTATGATATATACGAGCTACTCGGACATATAGTCTGGCACGTGGTAACTTGGTAGAGACCAATGACCTATTACCACAGATAGACAGAACATCCCATTGATAAAATAGCTTTGTTTTGGTTGACTACATGTTTATGGGCCAGGAGGGGTGAGCTCTGAAAGCGGCTAGGAGTAGGGATTCAAATGATTCCGCTAACTCCGCCCCCACTTTACTATCGCATACTTGGCAACTCTGAAAATAAAACCAGAATTAGTGCTACAAAAGTGTATCGTTATCCTTATATTTTACATAATTTTAGAAAAAGATGCGGATACACTCACTGCGAACTGATTGACAAATGGAAATTGTCATAAAATACCTGCTCGTCGCATTTTGACATGACAATTGAATAGAAGCCGCTGATTGGTGGAAAGTTGGAATTCGAGGTGGAATTTATTTTCTTGCAGCGTTGCTAATTTTCATTGAAAAATAATAGCATTCCACGTGTTAGAGAAAGATACAAAATAACACAAGGATTAATAAATAGTGGGGAGAGATGTGGTTCCTGGGATGTAGTCAACCAATATTATTGTTTACTGTTCTGTCTATTTGTGTTAATAGGTCATTGGTAGAGACGAAAGGGGGAAGAAAAATGGGGCGTAACCTAAGAATATTTACTGACACCGCCTGATGACAACTATGTTTTTGGGTTCAGTGGCACCGAAAACATCAAGGAAAAAATTCTTTAGTTTCGCAAATAACCACGTCACTGGTGCTGTCGTTCAGGCTCTCACCAATAGAATCACGCCTCTGAATAATCACGCCTCTCCACATCCATCATTTCGCAATGTTGCTGGATTTTTTTTTTATTTCAAAATACTACACATGCCCATATTGCAAAACAAAATATGTCACCAACGTGTTTATTATTGTTTCCGTCAAGTTTGGCAAAGCAGCAAATTCTATTGCAGTTCGCCGTTTGGCTAGCCAGACAATAAACGTCTCTTCTACGGCTTTTCTCCATTCACTGTCTTTCACTGCATCCTTATAATTATGTGGAACTAGGGATGGCAAATTTCCTGCAGATAAGTGCTTGTCATTAGGTTGGCATTTTGGTACAAGTCTTCATCATCGTCATCGTCTTGTAGGTGTGTCGGTCTCTTTCTTAATTTCTCACTTCTTCTGGGGTTTTTATTTCTTATAAGTCTTGTGCAGTTTTATTTTCTTCTTCTTCTTCATTTGAATATTCAGTAAACTCTTGTTTTCCTTCATTTTCTTGCTCGTTGTCTTGTTAAATTGTTACTCTGTCGTCATTAGTTTTCAATTCATTAAAAATAACATTTTTTGCGGATACTACTTTCTTTTCCAATGAGTTCCATAGTCTAGCCATTATCAGTATAGCCAATCATAATAATTTTTTGAGTGCTAACTTTGATTCTCCGGTCCTCTTTAGGAATCAGTTTGTGAGCTTCACAACCAAACAACTTCATCTTATCCATGTTTGGTTTATATCCATATCATACCTCAACAGGCAGTTTCTTATTGGCAAGGGTTGAAGTTTCTATTCTGTTCAATAAGAAAACTGAGGTCAAAACAGCCTCACCCCACATTTCTTTGCCTAATTTAGAATCAAATAAAAAGGCATCGGGCCTTTTCCATAATTGTTTGATCTAACCTCCCAGCTATCCCATTTTGTTTCTGAATTCCTTAAAACAGCGTACTGCAACCTAATTCCTTCATTGTTACACAAAAGTCTTTCAATTTTTGGGAAACATATTCGCCACCATTATCCAATCTTATTATGTCTATTTTATTGTTAAATTTTGCTTTGACTTGCCTTATATATTCTGTTAGCTTCTCTGTAACTAGGCTCTTGTTTTCCAGGAGATAACAAACGCAAAAGTGTGGATAATGATCGATAAATGTCACGTAATATCGTTTTCCATGATTTGTTGCAGGTCTAAGTCTAAGGTCCAATCAGTGGTCCACACACATCGGTTGGAATACATTCCAAAATTCTTTTTAATTTTCTTTTTTCATCTAGTGTCCTAAAAGGCAACCTTATTTGTTCACTTTCTAAACAAGTTTCACAAATTTCAGGTGAGGGATATTTACTATAGAATGACCCATTTTTTTTGTGCATCAACAATTTGCTTTCATTTACAGTTAGGTTTACAATTGCTGTCTTGGGTTCTGGAGATATTTGAAAATCTACTATACAGGGTGGGGCACGAAAAACTTCCCGCCTAGATGTTCTCAGGTGCTAGGTAATTAATCAAAAATCGCTCGGACACGTCAAGTTTTGTTTTTTGGGGGACATATTTTATTGGTATTTTCACCCCCTACCTGTCAACCCCTAAGCAGAGGTGACAGGTACCCCCAAAATTTTAAATAGAAAAGATTATATCTATATAACTTCAAAGTTGCTACTATTCACCCCGCCGAAATGGCAGCTTGTCAAAGTTGTGTGGTTTTCACATCATAATAACAAAACAACAGATTTTTTAAGTGAATAAACATGAACCCGTTATTATGAGGTAAAAAACACAGTTCAAATAATCGAAAAAAGCATTTTTCCTAAATTTGACAAACCGCCAATTCGGCAGGGTAAAAAGTAGCAACCTAAAACTTCGGAGATATAGTCTTGATAAGAACTGCTATCAAATGACGTATCACTCGATCCCGTTTTTCATTTAAAATTGTGGGGGTACCTGTTACTGTCACCCCCGCTCAGGAGTTGCCAGGTAGGAAGAAAAAATACCAGTAAAATGTGTCCCCCAAAAACAAAAATTGACGTGTCCGAGCGATTTTTGATTAATCACTTTAACACCTGAGAAAACCTGAGTGGGAAGTTTTTCGTGCCTCACCCTGTATATTAATTCCCATGTCTTTTTCCTTGTAGAACTATCTTGTTTTTCTTTCATACAATTACTTCTCCATTCCCAAAAATATAACTCTCATTTCAGCTTCTTCCAGTTTTCTGACGAACAATAAATTGTGTGATAATTCTTTGCACACCCAAACATTTTGTATTCTCATTTTTTTATCAGCCGTGTATTTGTGTTTGACATACAAATCGCCCTCTTTTATTACTGAAAGATTTTGCCCCTTTTTAGCACTGCTAATTTCATGATTTTTGTTTTTTTCATTGATTGCGTTATCCTTGTACTCTAGTTTTACCAAATGATAATGATATGTGGCACCGCTGTCCATTATAAAGTTAATTTTATTTGAACTTGGTTCATAGCTCATTAAACATAAACTAATGCCTATTTAGGACAAAATCTCATAATATGTCCAACCTCATCACACAAATGACATTTAAAAGAAAAATATTTATCTTTCTTTGCATTTTCTGAGGCATTCCCAAAATTCTTGTTAAAGTTTTTATTTCTATTTAATTGGATGCAAACGCAACATCGTTTGATTTGAGTTCCACACTTTTCGTTTTTCGACTTTCTTCCATCAAAAGTTTCTGTTTGACAAAATCCAGGCTCACCTCTTTGATTCATCCTGCCAAAACATCAAATCAATAGCTATTACAACTGCTTGGAGACTGTCTGGCATTGCTGATAACAGCTGGCATATTAGCTCTTTGTCATCTACGTTTCCACCAGCAGCTTTTATTTGACGTAGGTAGGTACTGTTTGATATGGTTTGATCAAAATTATTGAATGTATTTAATTGGGTTTTTTTCCATAATTTTCATTGACCTTAGCTTCCTCTGCAGTTGTACTTGCATAGATATTCCCTTTTTAAAGTCTGTTCTAGAGTTTCCATGATTTCCTTCGCTGATTTTTTTATCTCTTATGGTTTCTAACATGTTGTCTGCCAGACACTGGATATATATGTTTTGAACCTTGCATCAGTATCTTTTTGTAATGAGGTAACACCTGCTGCGTTTCCACAGGCTCTGTAACAACATCCAAGGCTTCAGTTAGTTCAAGCTGCAAGCAATAATTTAACTCGAAATTCCCATTTTGAATAATTATTACCATCGAATGTTGTCACACTAATGTACTGCAAATTTCTTGTATCCATGCTTTAACAATGAGTAAAACTACTTTAACTATTTTCCTCGCTATTTTTCTTTCCTATGTCCGCAACAATTTTTCACTTCCTTTTACTTTTCGAATTTTCACTAAGTAACAAGTACCTAGGACGCAAACTTCCGCGACTTCCACGTGAACTGGGCCCATAACCTAATAAACTATGAGGTCATGAGTGAAAAACAGTTGGTCTTTCATTATATTGTCACGACAAAAATTTGTTGTTGCAAAAAATCCCAACTTTGAAAATGATACTTCAATCCGATTGAAATGTTAGTTTTGCTTACCTCTACAATAAACTCCAATCATTTTCAAAAGCTTCTAGGATTAGTTTTTGAGTGAAGGAAAGAATACTGTAAAATTTGCGTTCGTGAAAAATCTTACAAAATAACATTTATTAGAGACACTGCTGTTCTTTTTTAGAACTGAAGATATCCGAATAGCAATTCTCCAAATGGTAAATGTGGCCAGAACGACTGACGATAAACTGGAAAGGCACGAGTTTCGAGAAAAACAATTAGGAGAACAACTAAAAAAAGGATTAATCAACATCGACAAAAGAATTAAGCTGCTGGATCCACTTAAAGGAGCGGTAAATAATTTTTTTTTGGAATTTTATAGATTAAAAAAAAAAATTACAATTTAATTTTCCAGGTCGGTCGTCTAGATGAAAGACTAGCGGCCGTTGAAACGATTTTACTGCAAAAAGACAAAGAGGACAGAGACCGACAATTGCAGCAACAGCAAATCCTTGAAGTAGTTTTGGATATTCAAAAGAAAATGCCTCAATTGCTAGACCAACTTAACCAGGATTTAACTCAAAAGGTATCAAATGCAAATCATTAATCGAATTTGCATTAATTCATTATTCCAGGTCATTATGAGCCAACCACCAGCAGCCATAAGTGAACCGATGATGACCAAACAAGATTTCGTTTTAATGGAAAAAGAAGTCGCCGTAAAAATGGATAAAGTGGAAACGACAATAAAAAATATGGGAGAAGAATTGGCCAAGTTACGCCAAGAAAATCTAAGCGATGTCAATAATAATAAGTCGATGGATATTTTGGAAAAGGTGGTCAAAAGGCAACTGGATAACAGCGAAAGCTTGTTGGCAAAATATGAAAATAAATTGGCCGAGTTTAATAATCGTATTCCAGAATTGCCAGTAATCGATTTCAAGGAACAAGATGAATGGAAAAGAGATCTCTTGCAAGGTAAATTCATTATTATTTATTGTTAAAAAGGAATCAAACTGTTATTTTTTTACAGCTTTCGATACACAAAAAACAAAACTAACTGATCTAGCTTTGGATATAAAATCAGTTCAAAACCAAATCGCTGTTTTACCTCAAAAACCCGACTTGGAACTTCTCCAAAGCATAACTTTAAACAAAATTGATCAACTTCCAAAAAGGTCATCGATGGATGGGGGAAATTTCGAGCGAGAGTTGCAGGAGATCAAAAATGTCACTTTGAAGAATCATGAAGAAGTTAAGAGTTCTTTTAATGAGTTGACCGAGATATCGTCACATTTGACTGAAAGTTTTGCTACAAATTATGCTAAAATAATGTGAGTAAGTATATAGAGTTTTTACAGAATTGAAATCATAGACTAATATATATAGGGGATCATTAACTTTTGTGTCCCGCACTCTACAGGGATCTCGGTAACCATAAGAGATACAGGGTTGGTTAATTTTGGAAAAAGTTGCGCATTACTGAGCTCAGTGGCGTCGTGTTTTGATATTCCGGAAATTCCGAAGATATCCATAAATAACTGAATTATGCTGAAATCATTTTTATTTTTTTCTGACTCTATTTGAAATGATACCGCAAAATAAACTTCACAATCTCATTGTTACTTTTTCTTCACTACATGATAATGTTATTAGATTTTTGATCAGACGTTTCGTTTCTTGGCAATCATCATCGACTGTGTTTTTTCAAATGAACGATTTTTTTTATTTTATGCCTAGTAAACTCTACTTTTTATTCTAAATCCAACGACATAATATCAAGCCCATAATTCCAGGAATATTAACTGCCACTAGCGGTTCCATTAACGGGCCTCCATGATTTCTAGACCTTACACGGATGGATTTTGTCTTTTGAGGATTCCTTAAGAATTAAATTACCTGACTTTCCAAAATCCATCGGTGTAATGTTAGCTTCAGGAACACTTTATCCGTTAGGACAATTAGGTCATGTCCTACGGGCCACTAGAGAATGAAGGCCAACTGCTGGCCTTTAATTTATAATATAAAATATAAAAGCCCACTATACTAAAAACATCCACTTGTTTAATAGCAGGACTACCATATATTTCAATACTCTTTAATTCTTATAATTCACACTGCACAAGCATATTTGGTTTGGCCAGAGTGCACTGCCTGACGTCACGAAGCTCTGGAATCGCTCCGCTCGCTCCATCGAGCATCAATCCGGAACACGCCCTAGAGTCACTGACCTGTGCTGAGGGCGAGAACCCACACGGGCGTAATTGACGTAAGCGTAACATGAGCGTAACTAATCATGTGATTTAATTTGTACGATTTGATTGGCGGCAATGCAGCCATCTTGAATTTTTGACATTACGCTGCCGCTACGGCAAAAAGTTGGGTTTTGTTGAACTTTTCGACGTAAGGGCGAATTCTCATGTGCGTAAGTTGACATTTCTGGCGTAATCACGTGATAATATGATATAATTTAATCGGCAAAATATCCAACATGTCAAATATTTTGCCAATAACACCCAACCATTTTATCACGTGATTACGCCAGAAATGTCAACTTACGCTCATGAGAATTCAATGAACTAGAGCTAAAAACTGGAATGCGCACACAGTGCCATATCTGCCAAAAAAATGAAGCCATGAAAGACAGATGCCACAACGGGGAATGTTGTCTTTTTCTGTTACTCGCTGACATATGACGTTTTCGAAAGTTTTGTCATATTTTCCTTCACAGGTTTCATCAATTGGAATACGTGTTGGAAGCAATTTTCGCCATTTAACATAATGAGTGCGACAAAAACAGGTATCCCCTCCGCAGCAGCTGCACTAGGCTTCACGTTCGTCCTTATGTGTTAGCATTCCAGTTTTTGGTTATAGTTCATTGTGAGAATTCGCCATAATCGTGGCAAAATTGTGACGTAATGTATAAGGTGAGTTCAGCTTGGCAGAACGGAGTTGGAGCAGATAAAGAGCAATTTCATAGTAACCTGAACACAGAGCGAAAAGAGTAAAATGGTTAGTCGAACGCATTAGGAGCAAGGCGAGCCCCTGCCAATGAAGAAATGCCGCGGCCCCCGAATGCTCATTCCCATCACAAATCGTAACATGTTTTTCTGCGGATATTTTGGGGAGCGATGCCATTTTTTCTACCAGGATCCCCAACCAAGCCCTAAGCAAAAAAAATCTTTTTTGAATTCTTTAGGTTAGGATCGTTAGGATAGTGAATTATTGAAAACCTAAATTTTACCGCCTTTTGGGAATATAGGAAGTGCGCATGCTCGCTTCTCGAGCTTCATCTTGCGAGGTGGAACTTATGAATATGGAGTTAATTATTTTCACCCTACTTGGTTGTACAGGGTGATTCATTAAGAATGGCACTCGGCCATATCTCAAAAACTATTCATCGTAGACTTGTCGGAAAAAAATTATCCCATAAATATGGCCAAGAGAAAATGCTGGCAATATATTTCAGCTTTCTAAAATGACCGCAAGGGGGCGTAACCCAACTGTCAAAGTACAAAAATGGTTTTATTTCTGAAATTTCAAATGGAAACGTATCCTAAAAATGCCAGCAATCGATTTTTGATAAAATTTCACACAATTTTGATCTATGACTTTTTACCATAACTTATCGGATAAGACAGTTATGAGCTGTCAAATATTGCAACTCAAGAAAGCGGATAACTTCAAAACGACTCAACAAATCTGGTCGATCTCAGGTTCGTTGGAAAGACAAAAGTCTGCACTTTAATTTTGTTGTAAAAAATTCAAATTCTGGTAAATAGGATTGACGCTATGGGTCGATATTTGAAAACAATTGAATGTTTTCAATTTTTCTTAATATTTTCAAATGGAACGGTATATTTAAGATACATTAAATCGATTTCTGACGATTTTTTACACATACTTTGTCTTTATTACCTTCCTACCTACAAATGAATTCTAGAAAGTGTTAAAATTAATTTAATTTAAAATAATCAGTATTTATGAAAAAGCCCTCGTAGATAATGACTTTGTTGTGCTGACAGTTGTCAAATAATAAATAAAGTACGTTCCAAAATAAAAATGTCATTTTGGGTTAATTACCTTGCTACTACAAGCTCTAGAGAGCTCATAGTAATAGAGAAACTTTTGGTGAATTATTCCAATTGAGGTTCAAGTCCCAAAACATGCAAGGTAATAAGGATTTTTAAGCGATTAACCGCGCGTTACAAAGCGTGTAACCGTGTTATAAACGGTAACTGAAAATCTCTAACCTTTGAAATTTTAGCGAGGCAGCGGTAATAGGGGAACTTATTATGACGTCAATAGTGGAAATCAATGACGTCACGCATTTATATACGGTGTTGGATTCAGTAACCTAAGCAGGACCTGGGTTACTGGTGGTTATAGAACATGTGACAGTTGGATTTTATTCAAATATGGGCGTTTGGGTTTTACCTCAATGGGTTTTACCTTACTCTAACGACTCTAACGTAAAACCCGAAAATTAGGAAACATTATTGCGGGATGTGGACGTGGGTTTCTGGTTGTTAGTTTAAACGTAAAAGGTGAAAGAAACACTCAGTAAGGTAGAACGTGTAATATCCAATCCATTCCTTGGAGATCCGGGGGACCAACAGGGCAGAAAATATTGAAATTTTAACTGAAGTAACTTTAAACAATGAAGGCAAGGATTACACCGTCTGTGTTCCTTTGGACAAAGCGAATATACTTTTTAATGTTAAAAAAATATGTGTACTGGTTTCTTGTTTCAGGTACCTACGCAAAGAGTACATTTTTAATAGTTTTCAATTTCAATTTGATTATTGTATTGATAATCCCGCCATCGCCATAGGTTTTTTGTTTATTGTGTGCCAATTAGGCGCCATTTTGGACAGGTCTTTGGTTTGCTTAATAGGTATCTATAACCTCACTTTTGTATGATCGCTTTCTATAACCGGTTCGTTTTTGCGAAAAAGAGAATAACAAACTTTATTAGGTGGGGGTAATTTTGACAGAACACCAGTAGTGAGGGTAACACCCGTACGGTTATAGCTCGTGATAACACCGTTACAAATGGTTACTCGCTAAAAAATCCTTAATTATTAACCCAAAATAACATTTATTATTTTGGAACGCACTTTTTTTAATTATTTGACCAACTGCCAGAAAAACAAAGTCATTATCTACGAGGGCTTTTTCATGAATACTGATTATTTTAAATAAAATTAATTTTAACACTTTCTGGAATTCGTTTGTAGGAAGGTGATAAAGACAAACTATGTGTAAAAAATCCTCAGAAATCGATTTAATTTATCTTGAATATACCGTTCTATTTGAAAATTTTAAGAAAAATTGGAAACATTCAATTGTTTCCAAATATTGACCCATAGCGTCAGTCCTACTAAGCAGAATTTGAATTTTTCACAACAAAATTAAAGAGCAGACTTTTGTCTTTCTAACGAACCTAAGATCGACCAGATTTGTTGAGTCGTTTTGAAGTTATCCGCTTTCTTGAGTTGCAATATTTGACAGCTCATAACTGTCTTATCAGATAAGTTATGGTAAAAAGTCATAGATCAGAATTGTGTGAAATTTCCTCAAGAATCGAATGCTAGCATTTTTAAGATACGTTTCCATTCGAAAATTCAAAAATAAAACCATTTTTGTACTTTGACAGTTGGGTTACGCCCCCTTGCAGTCATTTTAGAAAGCTGGAAATATATTTCCAGCATTTTCTCTTGACCATATTTATGGAATAATTTTTTTCCGACAAGTCTACGATGAATAGTTTTTGAGATATGGCCGAGTGCCATTCTTAATGAATCACCCTGTACAAAAACGATGTGGAGCTTCCACTATTTGCTCCCAGTGGCCTGACCCAAACGATTTTGCAGTGAAAAGTGTCAAAGGAGTCAAAAGAGTTGCCAAGCCGAACTCACCTACTCACCTATGATAGAACAATCACAGAAAATAAAAGGAGAAGGACTACAACAACAAATAAGTAAATTTTCATTACAACCTGGCAAAAAATAAACAAGATGTTTGTGTTAGAAAATGTTTTGTTGTGGTTTTGATGCACTACATGCGGGACGTTAAGCCAAAATTCGCGTAGAATTGACGTTTACGCCGGTTGCGCTAACTACGCCTGTGGGGATTCGCCCTGAATCGCCGTCATGTCATTAGCGCAGCACGGGCACGTGGCAACTGGCAACGGCTACAGCAGAAACCTGTTAGTGTTTGCGCTGCTTTGCCAAATTGTAAGTTTCTTTGAGCTTCTTCTGGAGCATCCAGGGACTTGAGCAGTATCTTAAGGGTCCAGTGTACCACGAAGTCGTGCCTTGTTGTTGTTGAG